GCGAGCGGACCCTGAGAGAGATATATCTGCGTCCATTTGAAATGACTGTCAAGTCAGCAAATCCACCAACTTGCGTTATGACCGCCTACAACTGCGTAAATGGTCTCCACATGGACATGAACCGCAAACTTCTTACGGAAACTCTTCGAAACGAATGGGGTTTTGATGGGGTAGTCATGAGTGATTGGGGAGGAACAAATTCTATGGCAGAGAGTCTGCTGGCTGGGCTTGACCTGGAAATGCCAGGACCTGCTGCGCACCGTGGGGCCAACCTTCTTGCTCATCTGCAGAAGACACCAGACGAAGAAATTCTTAAGGCAATCGACGCCTCATGCTCTCGCGTGCTGCGACTGTTAAGAGGGAAGAATTTGCTCGGCCTGTCTGCAACTGAGGTCATGGAATCTCGCAATAGAACGGAGACATCTTCGTACACCGACCTTGATCAGCAATTATTGCGGTCGGTGGCAGCTGATGGGATAGTCCTCCTGAAGAATTCGAAGGAGATGCTGCCACTGACTCCCGATAAAATCCATGGCAAGAGAGTCGCATTTATTGGTCCCAACTCTTTTCATGGAACACCAAGTGGCGGTGGCTCATCGAACCTGAATCAACACTATCAGACCCATCCTATGGAGGCATTCAAAGCTATAACGGCAAGTTTGGACATTAAAGTTGATGTCGAGCATTCCCCCGGTGCATTTAGCTACAGGTACCTTCCTTTAGTATCTAACGAGCAATGGCATTCTCCGCAGCGGCTGCCCGGAATGCAACAAAAGCACATGCTCCGCCTCGACTTTTTTGCATCGACAGACTTTTCCGGGCCAATTCTGGAAACTCAGTACCGCAATAGTTCTAATATCGATCTTTCTGACACCGCACCCGCTGGGCTGTCCGAGAAAGGAGATCCATATTCCTTTCGTCTTTCAACTACGGTTACGCCAAAGTCTTCTGGAATGCACGATTTCGGAATAGCGAGTGTTGGCAATGCTCGACTCTATGTGAACAATGATCTTCTCATTGACAACTATGATTGGTTTGGTCCTGCCGAAACATTTTATTGTTTTGGCAGCGCGGAGAAGCGAGGGAAGCTGTATATGACTGCTGGCCGTTCATATGAGGTCCGCATCGACTCGTCTTCCAAACTCTCTGTGAAGCCAGATTCCAATCAATCCGACGCCACCTATGTCTATGGCATTCAACCTAGCGTACGGTTTGGTTTCCTCGAGCAGCTCCCAGAGAATCCGATTGCTGATGCTCTTGCTCTTGCCGAAAGGAGCGATATCACAATTCTCGTACTTGGCTTAAATGAGGAGTGGGAGGGCGAAGGCCACGATCGTACCACAATGTCCCTCCCCGGGAAACAAGACGCGCTTGTGCAAACCCTCCTCAGATCTGTTTCCCATCCTGAAAATGTGGTCATTATCAACCAGTCAGGGTCACCCGTAGAGATGGACTGGGAAGCCGAGGCAAGTACCATAGTCCAAGCATGGTACGGTGGCCAGGAGGCTGGTAACGCTCTCTGCGATGTTCTCATTGGTAAGGTCAATCCCTCAGGTCGGCTGCCTATCAGCTGGCCATTCAAATACGGCGATTTAGACTTCCAGAAGTCTAAGCAGACGTGGCCTGGTGTAGATGGACAAGTCGACTATGATGAAGAGACACTGGTCGGATATCGCTGGTATCTTCATCAGGGGGTCAAACCGAGATTCTGGTTAGGCTATGGCCTTGGATACTCGACTTTCGACATCTCCAAGCTTGAGGCGTCGGAGACAACCTCAGGATGGGATCTCACTGCAGAAGTCAGCAATACCGGAAAGATGGCCGGCCAGGAGGTTGTTCAGCTGTACTCGTCCCCCCTCGATGGTGCTGGGGTCCGGAAACTAAGAGCGTTTGAGAAGACAGGCATCTTGGCCGCGGGCGAAATGTACACAGTGACTCTGAGTCTCGAGAAAAGGGACTTGGCCCACTGGGATGGAAGATGGATTACAGAGAAAGGAGTCTATCTTCTGGAGGTCGGAAGGAATGCCGGTGATACAAATATGCTGACGGCCGAGGTGATAGTTGATGAACGACTAGAATGGTGAATGAAAAGACAAGCAGGACAGCTTGACAAATAAATTTTCATGGGTCTCAACTTGATCGCTCAGAGTCCGGGAGTATGAGGCCCGTACCCATGGCTAGTTTCGTGGCCATCATTTGGTTGGCATTCTGTCTCACCGTTTACATTTGCATTAAAAGGACCTAGGGTCGTCTCAATACCTGGCGTAGAAGCACCATCTGCAAATATGATAGTATACTCGTTATAAGTAATATGGCCCACCCTCACTTAAGTAGCAATTCGGATAGGCGACGACAGGCACTCGAGCCAGCACCCGCCTTTGTAGGTATCATTCATACTTAAACCGACAACAGTTCGGATTTCGCCCTTCTTGAGATGAGTGATCCTTTGACCAGGTCACTTGGTTGGCTAACTTTTCGACACATTGCCGTGTACGCGCCGATTGATGTAACATCTGATGACTGCGGGCTACTGGACTCGACCTCTGGCACACGTCAACAATCACTCCACTCGCACAGATGTCTACAGCTGACCGGCAATGTCCACGTGGCCGGACTGCCAACAATTTAGCTAGTTCTGTTTAGCCTGAGCGAGCATTCAGTAACATACTCCTTTCTTCTTCCTGAGGTCGTCGATCATGTTGTAAAGCCAACCCCTTACCACGGCATCAAATTCGCGGACTCTTGAGATCATAATTCATTCCTACGTAATATTAAGGCAGAGCCTGATTGCAACCCGAGCTTGTCACTTTCCTAGCACTTTAACCTTATATCACTGTGCCTCAAGCACTCCGGTTGTGGCGATGAGGGCACACAACAGCTGTTGATCCGTAGTGGGTTTGGCTACGCCGGATTAATGTATTGGTCGCGAATCTGGCCTACTCTGTCACCGGTGGTATCATTGGCAGCACTATTTTCCGGAGTCAGGATGCACCAGCCTACGGTCCGACTTTGTACACCACCATGGGGGTGCAAGCCGCGTTGATTGTGGTACGGGTATCTATATGGTAATCTTTGCGAAATTGAATAAGAATGCCGAGCAGACGGGTAAGCTATTGAGAGGAATCGACGGGTGGCGATACACGCGGTGAATGTGGAAGTTGAAAACCATCCTTCCTCGCGACAGTCGACGGGAAAGTCTTGAGTTAACAACATCGTGGTCAAGAAAAAGGCTCATGAATGAATGAGGCAGTCAAGGATACTCCAGTTTACTAATATTCTACTTTCAAGTAGCATTCACTCAGTGGAAATGATTCCCGACTGCTCTCGGGTTGGTCACTCGGTAATTTTTCGTGTTTGCCATAAACGTACAGATGGGGAGCCCTAAGCATACCAGCGTTTGTGCAAGGATTAAGAAGACCAGAATGAGTCCGAAACGTTTCGACTGCCATCTCATCGCTCTGCTCCAAGCTTGCGACAAAGGGTTCGTCGAAAAGTGGAAGCGGCAGTGAGTCTCATTCCACCTGCACAAAGAACATATTCACTGTGTTCTCTTTTATCAATACTACAAGAAGATCAACAGCAATATGATTAACAATATCACCAGATCTTTCAACGAGAGATGTTCAAATTGAAGCAACACGATACTTTTCACCGAAACCTCATGCGATCACTTCCGTGAGCGGTGTGAAGCCAGTCAACTAGATTGATTATCATGATCGGGGTGTCCGAGTTGGTCCAAAGCTCCACAACTATGAGTCCGAAGTCCATCCCACAACTTGAGCTAGCTGGATTGACCAGATCTGATTTACCGCTAGTACAATGAGTCGATCATCAGCAAACGCAAAATTCGCGAGATGAGAATTTTTGTCCTCCAGGAGTGTCCTGGCGTTAAAGGTCCCCAGGACTTTGCCACCATCATTGCGGACAACGATGCCTTCTCCTTCTCCCGTCCATATTCGACCCCGCTTATCAACCTTGATACCATCTGGGACTCCCGTCCTTGCAATCGAGAAAAGACGCTTTCCCACAGGGGTGAGAGTATCATCAAGGTCGTAAACATAAACCGCGGCAGATCCTGTGGTATTTCCAGGCCCCATGCCCTGTAAACCGGACAGCGGCGTGTCTGTGATATATAACTTTGTGTAACCAGGACTGACAGCAATGCCATTGGGTTTTGAGATATCCGATCGGGGAATGACCGCTTGTAGTGACTCTGCCTGTGGATCAAAACGCCATACAGCGTTAGGCAGCGCTGGCGGTCCGGTAAGATTCAAGGCAGATGCGAAATCAACATCGGTGAAAAACATAGCGCGGTTTTCGCCTCTTTCTGCCCAGATCACATCATCCGGGCCGTTTAGGCGGACGCCAAAATAGCTGTTCACGAGCGTAGTTGTTTCACCTGTAAGCGGGTCGATTGCGACAACACCACCTGCGTATGTTCGATTCCCAAAGTGGGTGATATACACCTTGCCTTCATAATACGACCCGCCGTTGGCAGTGATGACAGGCTCAGTAAGTTTGGGTTTGTACACCTCATGGTCGGTCAAATTGATCGCCATGACCACCCTTCCAGGACCATCAATTTCGGCACCTGTGAACCACACGAGATTCTGACCTGGAATATAGACTCCTGCTTCATAGGCAAAGCCTACGTCGAGAGGGCCAGCAAGGAGCTGGATTTGAGGCGATGAACCGATGATAGCAGAGAATTCGGCATCATAGGTAATATAGGTTGCATTTTGAGCCTGCAGAAGCAGATTCTCGACGGTTCCATTTGGAACCACGGTATCAACAAACTTCTGGGAATAGTTGCTCACAAACGTTGGGGGCAAAACAAATGTATCGCGAACAGGAATTGAAACGACGGCATTGCCCTGCGAACACACAAGGCTAAAACGTAATGCCAGAGCAAAGAATTCAAGGATGCGTCGTGGTCCCATGATGTAATGTACTTGCAAAATTGTGTTATATTGTTGGTTATATGTGAAGCTTGAGCTTTTAGTATTTGTGAAGGCACGACATCTGGGCGTACGCAGTTTAAAAGCCATTTATGGGCCTTTATTTGCCATGCAATTGGCAAGACCCAAGCTCAGACTCTCCAACGGAGATTGATCTTGCACAGTCGAGAATGAAGCCGGATCCTGGGATTCGCCCCCATCCGGACCATCCGGGGAAAATGCTTCCCCACATGCGGGAATTTAGTTGCGGTCCGCTTGCGTGGTTGAGCCAACAAGTCGAATGTGTGTCCGATCGCAGGACGTTGGATTTCGATAGCGAGGTCAACGTGGAGCTGTCTCGGCTAGATCTGGTTGTGCGTTCATCCTTTGGGTAATACCGGCCAAGGGTGCGGCCAAGGATTTGAAATCGACCAGCCCTTCGTGGTCATGGCACCTACTGTATGTGGTAGTAATTGAGTAGTAATTCGAGGTAACCATTTTCAGCCTACCCAAAACCCCACATCGCCTCCGTCTTTTCTATCTGTGGGAGCTCCAACCTCCTGCAATCCTGCCTGGCAAGTGTGGGGGATCCAATATCCAGATGCAGTACTCCTTTTAAGGGGATATCGTCCTTATTATTAGCAACGTTATCCCCTGCTGGATAGCGAAGAACACTTTTGCAGGATATAACACACCTACCTTATTTCACCAAAATCATTACGCAATGGGCTACGGCGTCCTCGAATCCCGCAGCGGTCTAAAGCATGTGCCAGGAACTTCCCTTTTTGACACTCACGATGCACAATGGGTGGAATCCTCAGCGAACTTGAAGAGGGCGACAGGGAAGAACTCTCACGTTCTTCTCATTCCACAGCCCTCCAGCAGTCCCAATGATCCTTTGAACTGGCCGCTTTGGCAGCGAGATCTTTTACTGGCCTTGTATTGTTTTGCAACTTTGTTGTGCATTGGAGGGTAAGCCTTCATTCCACCTTATTGTCAATTCATCCATCTGATCACCCTTGCAGCATTGGCCCAATTCTTTCTTCCATGGCAATCATCTTGATCCAGGAATTTGGGCTCAGTTTCACTCAAGTCTCGCTCCTCACGGGCTACAGTCTTTGCGCCACTGGCGCAGTAGGGATCTTCATCTCTGCGCTTGCTCGCAAATATGGCAAACGACCGACTTTACTCTTTTCTGTCACATGTGCGTTCGTAGGCACAATCTGGGGTGGCGCTGCACAGTCATACGAATCTCTACTGGGTGCTCGCATCGTTCAAGGACTCAGTGTGGCCATGTTTGAAAGCGTCATGTTCTCTGTCATCGGTGATTTGTACTTTGTGCATGAAAGAGGCTCTCGAATGGCCATTTATGTCACCTCGAACTCTGGCATAGCAAATTTGCCAGCCATGCTGGCAGGCAAGATCACGACTGATCTTGGCTGGCGTTGGGTCTTTTGGCTACTTGCCATTTTCCTTGGTATCGCCTGGGTCGGGGTCGTCTTATTCGGGTGGGAGACGGCCTACAACCGCAATGAGATCTACAACATTGACACTTCCTCTCAAGATGTGAGTGCGAGCAATATTGCTATGGACACCACTAACTGAACACAGAACATTGAAGTGATTGAAGAAATGAAAGCCAATAGATCAGGCCACGTCGAGGAGTCGAACTTGGAAAGAACTGCGACTGTATCGACAACTGCTACTACAGAGCGCAGGTCCATCTTTCGGCACATGTTGCCCCTGAATGGAACCTACACTGATGAGTCTATTATAAAGATGGTCGTCCGACCATTCTTCATCTTACTAAATCCAGCCGTTGTATGGGCAGTCGTGCTCATCGCGTTTCCAACTCTTTGGTTGGTCGGGATTTCATTCGTCATAGCTCAGATATTTTCAGCACCCCCTTATCTCCTCAATACCACTGATTTGGGCTATCTCTCCGCCGGCCCAGTTGTTGGTGGGACGCTAGGCTGCATTTTATGTGGTTGGATATCCGACCCGATAGTGAAGTACATCAGTCGACGCAACAATGGCACTTACGAACCGGAGTTTCGTCTCGTTATCATGGCCTTTGCCACATTGTGTTCTGTCATCGGATACTTCCTTTTCGGAAATCTCATTGTACAGGGTAAGAGTGCGGTTGG